TCCTCGCCGCCGCCGCCGAGGTCGGACTTCGGGACGGGCCGAAGAGCCGCCGAAATGCGACGGGATGATGCTGTGCGGGGCCGAAATAAGCGCCGGAAGCACAGACAGAGGAGGAAAGCGAGACGAAGCGAGAGAGAGACGAGCCGCTCTCGCCCTCCGATCCCTCGCATCCGCCGCGTCTCCCGAGCCAAGAGCGCAATGCCGGATCTCTCTTCCCCCTTTTCGCCTCGGTTCCTCCCTCGCCGAGCCCTCCAGCCGCGGCGCAGGGACTCCGCTCCCGCGACGCCCTGCCTGGTCGGTCGATGGCGCCTGCGAGGGCCGGGGAGAGCGGGGCTTCCTTTGTGTCCTCGGGAAAATCTCTCCGGGGGAAAAAGTGGCCATTTTGTGCGTGTTGCGTCATCATGGAGGCGGCTCGGAGGCGGCTCGCCCTCGCTGCTCCCTCGGGCCGCCCTTCGCCCTCTTCGCCCTCTTCGTCGACGGGGAGCTGGTTGTGGAGGGGTAGGGGAGGGGGGTGGGGGGTTGCAGGGTGGTTTGGGTATTTAAATGGACATGTTTTTTAGTTTATTAAGGTTTCGAGGAAATGCTATGCTAGGCTTTTTTTTTTTTTTTTTTTAATAGGTCATTCAAATTATTTTTTTTTTTTAGTTTTTTAGTCGATGGATTAAAATTGAATATCAATCATTGATTTAAATTTGGAATCAGAAAGTAGGTCCATCATTAAGTATAAGGCAGCAGGTCAATCCAAGGGAACACGAAGTCATTTTTTTAAAATTATTTGACATGACGCACGCATTTTTCTCAACAAATACGGGACCGATTCACTTGGGTTTGCCTGCAACACTGTGTGATCATCTGCAAAAATTAGACATTAACTTCTGATATAATTTATTACGCATTGCTTATCTGGGAGTGGGTGTTAGTTGGTTTGAACTGGCCATGAGTAATGTGCTTTTGCTGCAACATTACACTTGATGATATTGATGCCTTGAATAATTCCATGATGCCTATCACTTCACTGGTCAAGACATGCAAGCAGTCAGCCTGTAATGGAATCAAGGCCAGACAAGTCTTTTCTACGAGATTTTTTTGTGAAGAGTTTCGTTGCTTCAAAGAATTCTCCAACACACAGCCAAGAGAGTGATAATCTTGCAGAAAATCTGTCCAGCTGCTGGGAGTTTGGGGAGATCTAGTCGTGGATAAGCCAAAGTTTGCATTTTTCAAGCATAGTGACAAGATCATATCAGGATGTGGCTTTCAAAAAAGAAAAAAAAAAAAAACATTAGAAGATTCAGTACATATTGAAATGATTTATTTTTTCACTTACAAAAGACCAAAATTTTTTTCATTCAGTAATTGATTGTTTTACATTTAGAATTAGTACTAAAAACAAAAACTACTCATGTGATGAAACTGGTTTTCAAAACTTGCATTTAGTAATTTATTGATATAAATTGGGTTGTCTTAAAAGCATTAAATGTAAGTAATTGGGCAAGTTGGACTCAGTCTTGTGGCTGTGAAAGGACTCGTTCCTAGATATCACCTTGGTGTGTGCTTGGAGAGATCATAAATTTTCTTCTGGGAAGGCCCTGGCTCTTATTGTTTTGCCAAAGACTTCTGGCACACCTTCACTGCGTTGACCATGAAAGAAATGATAGCAGCATGGAAGAGAAGAGTGGGAAAATATCAAGCATTCAAGGCAAGACATTGCAGCACTTCAGCTGAGCCTCCTTCCTGCAACAGAAGCAGCAGCAGCAGCAGTGGAAGAAGGCCATTCAACATAATTCATGCTTTTCAATTTCAGGGAATTCTATAAATAGTTAATCCCAAGGTCCCCTTCTAGGTCTCGCTCCCGTTCTCGTTCTCGCTCTCGCGACCGTGGTCGACGCGATAGGGATGACTGGGGCCGAGGTGGAGGGTATGGTGGCAGCGGTGGAGGTGGGAGGCCGTCGCTGAAGGGAAGGCAGCCAGGAGAACGCCTGCGGAAGCCAAAGTGGGACCTGTCCAGACTTGCCCCTTCGAGAAGAACTTTTACCAGCCCACACCTGTTGTTGTCAACCGACAGCCCTATGAAGTGGAACAATACAGGTAACTGATGAGTTAGTTTGAAAACAATGCACATCTGTTTTGAGGCATATAAAAGTTACGGAAATAAACCAATAGCTCTTTATTAATATATTTTTTTATTCCCCAGAAATGAAAAGGAAATCACACTTAGAGGAAAGAACATTCCCAACCCCATTCAATACTTCACTGACTACAATTTCCCAGACTATGTAATGGCTGAAATCCGTCGACAGGGCTATGAAGCACCTACACCTATTCAGGCACAAGGCTGGCCTATTTCATTACAAGGAAGGGACTTTGTTGGTATTGCACAGGTGAGTTAGGAATCATAGAAATAAAGGTTTACATCAGCATGATAATTTAAAAACTGAAATTAGGTCTTTGTTATATAGTCATGTATTTGTTTAATCTTTTGAATCGGACATGTGGATAAGAAATCTTCCTTTTTCAGACCGGCTCAGGAAAGACCCTGGGTTACATTTTACCAGCCATTGTTCACATCAATCACCAGCCATATTTGGAAAGGGGAGACGGCCCTATTGCACTCATTTTGGCTCCCACAAGAGAACTTGCCCAACAGATCCTTACAGTTGCACAAGACTTCGGTTCATCTTCAAAGATCCGCTCCACATGTGTGTTTGGTGGCGCACCTAAAGGACCACAGATTCGAGACTTGGAACGAGGGGTTGAGGTATGTTGAAGTTCTTGATAAAGGATTATACAGTTTATAGGTATGTGACAGCCCAAGCAACTTGAATTGTTATAATAAGTTTTCTACATTAAAAACTATTCTTTAAATTTTTTCAGATCTGTATTGCCACACCAGGACGTCTCATTGATTTCTTAGAAGCAGGAAAAACAAACCTTCGCCGTTGTACATATTTAGTACTTGATGAGGCAGACCGCATGTTGGACATGGGCTTTGAACCGCAAATCAGAAAAATTGTAGAGCAGATCCGGTAGATTTTTTCAGAGATGTTAATAAAGTAGTTACAATAGATTCATGGTTTATACTGTATTGAATTATTGCATTAAGCTATTTGATGCATTATTTCATTTCACATTACAAATTGCTTTGTAATTATGCATTGAAAGCATTCCGTCAATATTACTCTTGGGGAGAGGGAAGACATCAGAATTGTCTTTTGTGTGTGTGTTTGACTTTCTAATTCTTGATTTTCTCCACAGCCTGACCGACAAACTCTTATGTGGTCTGCAACTTGGCCCAAAGAGGTGAGGAATCTTGCCGAAGACTTCCTAAAAGAGTACATTCAGCTTAATGTAGGCTCCCTATCCCTCGCAGCCAACCACAACATCCTCCAGATTGTAGATGTTTGTCAAGAGATGGAAAAAGATACAAAGTAAGTTTTCTTCTTCTTCTCATCATTCTTTCCTTTCTCTCTGCTCACTCTTCTCTTGTACTCTGAACTTTTTCTGACTGTTCTTGTCTCTAGATTTTCTTTTGAATTTTCAATGTACTTTAGTAAATGTCACTTTAAAAGATTTAACTTCTCATTAAGTTTTTGTTGTAAGCAAAAGATCCCAGTTCGTCCTTCAATATCCTTCAAAATTTTTCTTTATCCCCTTCAAGCTTGCTATTGTTAAACTTAACAGCCGTTTGATTTTATTTGTGTGCCTTGTCCCATAGACTCCGGCAGCTACTTGAAGAGATCATGGCAGAAAAGGAAAGCAAGATCATCGTGTTTGCAGAAACAAAAAGAAAAGTGGACGATTTGACCAGGCGAATGAGACGCGAAGTAAGGAAATGCACTTGTATGATAGATCCTAAGGATCTAGGTGACATTCTTCTACCTGAAGCTACCTCAGGCCTTTGGGACACCTTGCATACTTTGCTTCTTGGACTCCTTTGACTTGTTTGTCCGTCTTTAGTGTCAATTTGGGAGTGTATTTGGGAATTCCTGTCCTTGTAAAGCAAGAGCCATCGCTATCAGCAGCCTGGGAAGCTTCTGCAAACTGCGGAAACCAAACAGCCTAAGGTTCAAGGCACCCAAGGGAAAGCAAAGTTTGCAAATCCTGCTTGTTACATTTTTCCTCTACATCCCCCTTTCCCTGTTTTCTGTAGGCTGCGCCAGTTGCTCAATGAGATGGCGCAAGAGAGGGCTTACAAGACAATAATCTTTATCGAAACGAAGCGGAAGGTGGAGGATGTTACTCGTGGGTTGAGGAGTACTGGGTAAGATGAGAGGCATCCTGCATGATGTTAGTATGCACCATACTAGATGCCTCGGGCCGTGTAACAGCCCACAAGATCCAGAGAGACTTTTTGACTAGGTGTTCATGTACATAAAAGGAGTAGTAGATGCTGTGTAAATCAAATTCAGATCCCCCTCGTCTAAATGCACTACTCGGATGTTTTAATATTTCACTTGTAGCAAGTTGTGTCCCTTGGGTCTGCAAACTGTAGCTTGTATATTGTAGTACTAACACACTTGTAATTATAACAATTAACTGGAAAATATCTCTGTTTTGGTCTCTGCCTGTTTTTTTATATGTGATTTCTATTCAGGTGGCCAGCTATGTGTATCCATGGAGACAAATCTCAACAAGAAAGAGACTGGGTTTTAAGTGGTAAGTTAATTATTTTGACTGGAAGGATTATATGAGAATTAATTTCTGTAAGTGAGGATTTAAATAATTTCTGTTGAAGACCTAGCCCTGGATCTCTCAATATTTTAGTGAGTTTTTTTCATGAATATAAACAAAGGTTCACACGTAGTTCTAGTATATTAAGTTTTGCTCTCCCAACTTTCCAGAATTCCGTTCAGGGCGGGCACCAATTTTGGTTGCCACAGACGTTGCTGCTCGAGGGTTAGGTAAGTGAAGCCCCTTGTTGAGGAAATCCATAGCTGATGAGGGTCAAGGGAGGTCATTGATCATTCATTAAAAAAAAAAAAAAAAAAAAAGGGAAAGGGACCAAGATAAAGTCCAGACTGTACATTTGGTGGTTTCATATAGTGGGAAAAGCCTGAGGCTTGATGTCAATGGTTTCTGGTGATAACATTAGTTTAGACAGTGGCTGCAGTTTTTATTGTAGTAAGACGGGCTCCACACCTGTGGTTATTTGTAGCTTCTTGAGGCTCTGGAGTGATGGTCTGGTCATGATGCAGGTGTAAACGTGCATCATTGCCCAGACTAATTGTGACACCTATCATTGAACACATTGACACTCAATATAGTAATTTTAATGAAACGGTAATCGACAATGAAGTGGATTCCATTTAGTTCCTAATTTGCGATAGACCATATTGAAGTATTTGCTCTACCAAAGCAGACGTGAACTCTTGTATGCAAAATTACAAGGGCCTTGTAGTAGATAAATAATTGGCTTGCACAAAAGTCAGAATGTTTGAGCTACACCTTTTTGTAACTGTTATCTACTGAAAAGGAGAGAAGTAAGTTTGGTACTTGGTTTGTGCCTGGTTTGGAAGAGAGAATACTATAATGTGGAATTATATAGCTTTGACTATAAACTTAGGCTTAATGTAAGTTTCATGTGATATGATTCAATTTTAAATTGGTGGGTTTATTTGCAACACCAGATATGTATTTAATAACATTTGATATAACTAAAAACTGCTTTTTGAATATTTTTGTGGGTGTCTCCAGAGATTAAGGAAGCAGTTCCCTCGCATGGAGCCACTGTTAATTCAGTCTGGTCTTCTCTTTTTGCAGCGGCACTCAAAGCGAGATAATGCACGGAGGATGTTGTTGATTAGGCTCCGGTGCCTCTGAGACTCGTCGTGCATCACGAGCACGAATACGCATTGGCGACAAGTGTCCACTGGTGCCGGAAAGGTGGTCACGTTGCCCTGGCCATCAGTTGTGGCAGAGGTCAACGATGACCAGCGATAGCGGCCGCCTGCAGCCTGTGTCGGTCCAGAACGACCCACTCTGGTGTGCAGCAGTCCGCGCTGGTCTTGCCTAGCCTGCCCACCCTGGACCTGCCAATTGATTCGCTACCGTAGCATCGTGGCAAGCCGCAAGCCCCAGACCTGTGGTTAACTGGGCCTTGCGTGGCCCAGCCCCCTAACACAGGGCCCTCAGCCCTGGGACTGAAACGTACTTTAGGGTCCACCCCGGCCCCACTTGCCGCTGCCTCTCCCGCACTGCCACATGTGGAACGTAGGTATCACCGCGGGGAGCAGTGGTTTGCTGGGGGCATGTGGGGGTGCATGCTCGCAGTAATACTTAGGTTCTAGTAACATTTGCTCTCAACCTCAAGTTTTAGTTTGATTTAAATTTTGTGATTTTAAAGTCTGTTTACTTGAGTGTGCACTCTGAGGGCTCGAGTGTATTCAGCCACAGGTGGATGCGGAAGAGGCTTGTTTAACGATGGAAATGTGCGAGCCGCGGTCCTTATAGCTTTGTTTGACTCCAATTATTTTTGGGCCATTTCAAAATCTTTCAATTAACTCTTGTCATTTATCTTCGAGTTTTGTATCAGATTTTTTCTGCATGCCTTCTTGCTTACCCCATCTTCCTGTTAATTAACTTGCCTTTTAATGTGCTTTTTCATGGAATGGCCCATTGAACTGCCAAGTTTTTAATTTTTTTTATTTTTATTTATAAGCTTTCTGTTAAGAATTATTCCACCATATAAAAATCCCCTTGAATTATAGTGTAAAGATATTTAGTCCTACTTATAACTTGGCAGTTTATTACTCCCTTCAGAGGAACACATGTATAACATTTGCTTTGATGTGTAGATGTGGATGATGTGAAGTTCGTGATCAACTACGACTACCCATCTTGCTCTGAGGATTACGTTCACCGAATTGGGCGAACTGGACGCTCAGACAAGACAGGAACTGCATACACATTCTTCACAGCAGACAACTGTAAGCAGGCAAAGGATCTGATCGAAGTGCTGAAGGAGGCCAATCAAGTTGTTAATCCCCGGTTATATGAAATCATGGAAATGGGACGCGGTGGTGGAGGTAAAGGTAAGCTTAGTTTTTGAATGAAATATGAAATATTCAGTAAAGTCATACCGCCATTAAAGCCAAAACCAGAATGGAGTCGTTTGTTTGGAAGAAGGCTTACTCCAGCACACTGTAGGGCCCCTGTACCCATCTTCATGGGAAGCACCTTCAAAGGTGGGATTTTTGCTTTTTCAGGCCGCAATCGCTGGAGGGGACGTGATGATGACAGGAGGGGTGTTTTGGACGTGACCGCGCCGCACCGCAGCCGTCCGAGTGGCGGAAGGAACGGCTACACCAACGGAAATGGATATGGTACGTCTCCTCAAGTGCTTGGAGGATTTAACAAGTTTGGAGGCGGAGGCAGTAATAATGCCATGGTGAATGGGGCGGTTGCAGGCCAGGCACGTTACAATGGGCCGCCTCCACTCATGGGCTCTGGTGCTGTGAAGGCCTCGAGCCAAGCAGGTACTCCAAGCCAATTGAATGGTACACAACGTCCACCCGGCCAGAGCATGGGAGCCAACATGGCCATGGGCATGTTCAACCAGGCTGCCTCCATGGCTGGTGGTGTGGGTGGCTAGGCATGATGGGGGCCGTGCCTGGTGCACTTTCCTGGCCGCGGCAGTGACCCCCGCGGCTGCCCTAGTCAAGCTCCTGCCTTCCGCTCTCCACGTGGGGCCTTGCCAAGTGGCCGCCTCGCCCCTCGCTTCGGCGACTCGCCATCACCGTAACAAGTGTCAAGTGTGATCCTCTCGGTCTCCTTGTAACTCTGAACTGATGATGGGGCCTCACTTGGCAAGGTTTCTCATCTTAGGTGTATCTAAAACTTGTTTCCTCTTGACTTTAGTATATTGTATGCACAGAATTGGAATCTTCCCATTCCAACATGCTGATGATGTAGTCTGGTGAAAGATGATTTTTTTCCTTTTTTTTAAACCTAAAAAAGAAAAAAAAATGGCATGGCATGTTTTGGCAAGTGAGGTGTTCTATTCAGTAGTTATTAGTAGTTAGTCTTTGAGTTTACCATTGATGCTGTTGGTATCTATTGCAGCCTACTGAAGCCTGGGCCGGAGGTGACCGCTTACCGCTGCACCATCCCCTTTCTAGGAGATTAGAGGTTGCGCACGTTACCACTAAGTACTTGACAGGCCCGGTTGTCAAGGTTAGGGAAAGTTGGACTCACCCCATCATTACAGTGTGCGGACACCTACGCCATTCCTTCTTGTTTGTCTACAGGACTGCTGTCTGCTTAAAGCCAACGACGTCACTTAGTAAAACCTCACTGTCCAAAAGCCGGTTGAGTTTAGTCAGTTCATGTCAGCATGTCGTTGATTCATCAAATGATCTTTTGTTTCCTTTTTTTTAACCAAATATTCCATTGTACTTTTAGGAAGCATTTCCTATTTTCTTTATATTGTATAGAGGATATTATTTTTCATTGTATCAACTTTAAAGAAATTATTTGTATGGACCAAGAATCTTTGTAACCCTCTATGAATAATAAAAAAAAAATGTAAGACTTTAAAATCTCTTTCATTTGCTTGTTTCCAGTTACTAGGGTGTAGTTCAAACACCCTTTAAAAGATCTCAAGGAAGAATACACCTACATTAAGTTCCTAAATTTTACATTTAGGAAATGCAATTTAGCAGTGTGATGAGTCATGGATAACAAAAAATAGTAAACCGAGTCATTTTGTCATGAACCTGTTACTCATTTTGATAGAAAATTTACTGACATCCCCCATGTTAAAGCTGTAAGGCTCAAAATATCAAATACTAGTGAATTATGAGGTGAGAGGACAGATGGTCACTAGTTGCAGTCAGCTGAGTATTTGGTAAATTACATCATTTGGTAGCAATCTGTCTTTCATTATATGAATATATGATTAATAGAGCAAACCCAATTATCAAACTAAAAGTAATTGTGAAGTATACAAAAGTATTAATTTTAATATATAAACTTTTTATAAGAACCACCTTCAGTATTATGTATCAAGAGTATGGATAACAGTCTTTGGATCTGTATCTAGTAATGGACTCTGTAAATGCTTATTAAACCAGTAAGTGTTCCCTGTTATGAGAAGGGAGAGTATCTAGTTTATTAAAAGCTAGCTCAGATTAAAAGAAAATAGAATAATAATTGATGAAGCTACTACAGAAATGATAATGGAAAAGAACAAACAAGAATGAGAGAATTTTCTCAAACTGAAGATCATTCATAATTTCCATGTCTTCAACCTAAGACTACGGAAACTAAAGGATCTAACAACAAACCACATAGGGTCATTAATAAAGAAATTTATAAATTTGTATAAAAATCCTTCGTAATGAATTGAAACCTACCATGTACTCATTCCTTTTTTCATTCTGTATATGCACATGATTATATATATCTATTAATTTATTTCTAAATATATATGAATATACATATACACATACATATACATATACACATAAGCTTACGCACACACACACACACACACACACACACACACACAACACACACACACACACACACAACACACACACACCACACACACACACAGACGCACACACACATAGACACATAGACACACACACACATAGACACATAGACACACACACACATAGACACACACATAGACACACACACACATACACCCACACGCCCACACACATACATACACATATATATTCATGTAACATACATATGCACATATACATTAATATATACATAAACATTATATGTATGTATATAAATGTGTATGTGTATCCATCTATGTATATGTATATATAGATATACATATACAATATATATAATATATATATATATGTATGTATATATATATATATTATATATATATATTGTATATGTATATATTATATATATTATTATATATTATATATAATAAATATATATATAATATATATATATAGATAAATATATATATTATAATAATACATATATATATATATATATATATATATATGTATATATATATAAATAAATATAT